AGAGCATTTGTTCTCGAGTCAAAAAGGGTGCAATCGAGAATCATACGAGGAAATGACTAAGTCACCAGGAGGAGGAGGTCAAGGGCTCATGCACACCGATCTAGAGATTTAGACTTGGGACGACTACGCCAACCAGAGGAGGATGCCAGAGCTCATGCATACCGATCTAGATATTTAAGCTTGGGCATTGGACTATAAATTTTTTATAGTGTATTTTGTGTTTTTTGCTGAGTGCATGGGGTATATGGGCCAACGGTAAAATCTCAGAGTGGATCATCCTAGCCACCCTATGGCTACGCCAGTGGCGGAGCCATTTGGGGGGGAGGGGGTGCTGGGGCCATGGCTCTCCCAAGCTTTCTAAAACCACCCCTATATTGCTTTTTTTGCTAGAAAATTTTCGATCTATTCATTTTTTTAGTCATGGCAATACAATGAACACCAGAAATAATCAAAATTACATCTAGATCCGTAGACCATCTAGCGACGACTACAAGCTTTGAAGCAAGGCGAAGGCGCGCCGCCTTCATCGCCCCTCCCTCGCTGGAGCCGGGCAAAACTTGTTGTAGTAGACAGTCGGAAAGTCGCTGTGCTAAGGCCCCATAGGACCAACACACCAGAACTGCAACCGCCACCGTTGAACAGTAGCGTAGATTGGAAGGATCCAACCTAAAGACACACGAACGTAGACAAACTATGACCAGATCCGAGCAAATCCACCAAGAACAGATCCGCCGGAGACACACCTTCACATGCCCACTGACGATGCTAGACGCACCACCGGGAGCCGCCACCGTCTCAGGCGGAGAGAACCTTATTCCATCTTCAGGGATCCGCCACCATCTCGTCTTTCTGAGTAGGACACAAACCCTAACAAAACTCAAAGGAATATCTAAAAACAAAGACCTCCCGTCGGCAAGGGCTGAGATCCACCACGCCGCCATGGCCCTAAGGTCACTGGAGACGAGGCGGACCGGTGGCTGCACTGACGGGACGGAGAGAAACCCTAATATTTTTTTAGGGAAGGAGAGCCACCCCTATATTGCATATTATCAAAAAAATGTTCTTAGTTCTTGTGTTTGTGCCCCTCCAACATTTTATATCTTTCACTAGCTCCTTTATATGAGATTCTTTGCTCCGCAGCTGGGCTACGCCATGGGTGAGCCTTGTAACCGCAACGGAGAACCTATCTGACATATCACTATATCTGTTAAAAGTTATCAGATAGAACAAGTAGAATCAACACACATGTAACATGCTACAAACTTTCTAATCAAAATTTAAATAAACAGGTTGAGAGATAAAAGTAAAAAAATCTCTTTGCGAATACATAGTAGCCAACCCTCACTCGCAAACAGTTTGTCTAATTCATATCCAGATGTTTTTTAAGGATGTCACATCTAAGCTCCCACTAATATATAATGCAGCAACAAGAAACAAAAAAAATAAGACAAAAAAAAGACCACAAACAGAGTGGACATCAGTTTAGATGTGACATAATTGTGTCACATCTAGATGTGTCCTAGACAGACCCAAAAAAAAACTCACTCGCAAGAAAAAAAAGTAGCCAACCCAAGTTGGACCGCAATGTGACTATCAACACTGGGTTTGCCTTTTTGGTTTCTTGTGCTGCGTTCCAAATCTGGATTTGAGATTTCACCGTAGTATGATGGGCACATGTTTCTACGGCCTCAGTTTTTCTTTTACACCGCAACATTTTTCAGCCAGAGTGAGTGAGGTCGGAGACGATGGGTGCACCAAGTCCCGGTACATCCACATCCACCATCTACTCTCACTATGCATGTGTATGAAAAAGTCCCAAGCAAAAATCAAAAACATAGGCTAGGGCTGTCGCGCACATAATACTAGGTGAGAACACGGCACAGTCCCGTCCTCTGTTTCCTCATCCCCGGTGTACTGCGCTTGACCCCCGAATTAAACCCCCACAGACCGCGCACATTCTCGGCATGTGATCCGCAGTCACCACCCGCGGCGCCATGTCGCGCATGGACCGCGACTGTGCAGCGCACGGCGGCAGGGACCATCCAAGGCTCCAAACCGGGCTCCCCCGCCGCACCTCCCCTGTACGCGCACACGATCGTATGGCAGCAGCAGCAGCCGGCGACGACGGACGGTCCGGGCTCCGCATGCACATTCACACGCCCCCACGCCACGCGCTATCTCGTCGGCTTTGCCTGATCTGCCCATGGATCGAGTGTGAAAGCATCGGCGAGAGTTTCAACGCCTACACCCAGGGGTGCAGGCGCAGCACACACAAACGTAAAGGCGCCCGATCGAGCTTGTATATAAGCGGCCCCAGGTGGTGGCCGCTTCGTTTTCTTCAAGGTCGTGACATACGCGCACATTGACATTAGGGAGGCTGCTGCCGTTCCTCTTTCCCCTTCCTCCACATCCCAGTCTTCTCCACCCACGCCACCAAACCCCCGATATCAAGCTAGCTATATATACTGCATATTCTCCAGTCCCTGCAAAGCGAGACCTGTATTCTAAGATCAAGATGGGGCTGCGCACCTGCTCCTCCATGGAAGGTGAGCTCCTTGTCGCCTCGCCTTTCTTCGAGTGGCTCAAGCCGCCGGGTTCGCCGTCCTCCTCGAGATCGTCGTCGACTTTCTCCTCCTCATCATCGTCCATGGCGTCTGGACCACATGCGGAGGACGGAGGTGCCGCTCAGGTAGATGGCAGCAGCGTCGCATGTTTGCCGCTGCTCCGCATGCTCGAGGAGGGGAAGGGGGCTGGTGGTGACCATGATCACCCTGCACCTGGAGTCAAGGAAGAGATCATGGGCAGCGGCGCGGCCGGGGTGCTCGGGCCTGGCGTGGATCTGAATATCGGCTTGCCGGTTGGTGGATCTTGCGATGATGACATCATGGAAGAGGAGGGCCAGGAGGAAGATGATGACCACGACTGTGACGAAGAGGAGGAGGAGGAGATAGATGAGTTGAAACCTGAGCATGGAGGTTGCAAGGTGGAGGCAGAGGAGAAAGACGAGCACGGCGAGCCAATGGTCTCGGCAGGAAGATCAAACAGCGTCAGCATGCCGGAATTCGGCATGGTCGGAGCAGAGGGCGGCGTGCCCATGGGCTGCGAATATTGGATCCCGACGCCGGCGCAGATCCTCGTCGGCCCGGTGCAGTTTGTCTGCCACGTCTGTAACAAGAGCTTCAACAGATATAATAACATGCAGGTAAATTAAATGACGTCTATTTTGCATGCTCTTATATACTGCCCCGCCTTAGTTATTGTTGGTTCTGTTTTCATCTAAGCCACGATTCGATTGATTCTGTGATAATATTGGAGACGCAAAAGAGAGATGATCTAGAATTTAATTAGCTGGTAGTACAAAATTAAGTCCAGCGAATGAGAGAACCGAGATCATCTTAGCTCGCTAACATAATTCGACATGAATCATCAATTCACCATATCATAGTGTTTTGGTCGCCTGCCCGGCTGCCCCAAATCTTAACCAACTCTCCAGTCTCCACATACTTGGTTACAAACGAGGAGCAGCCGAAGCTTCATCGTCGCATCGTTCTACAAAGGCCACACACCATCAAGGACACTCTAGGTTTCCCGGATAACTAGTCCAAAAAACCCGGCCGGTAGATCGATGTGAACACCTTGCATGCAGCAGCGAAAATCTATCTCCCAACACCGTCGAATGGCCCCGTCGAAGTTGAGCCTGACCTATCCAACACCGGCCACTTTCCCAATGGCATTGCGGGTGTTTGGTGTCTGGATTGGACCCAGGGCTCGTCTCCTAGGAGCTCCAAAGCTAATCAAGTGTCAATTTATTCCAAAGAGAAGGTCTGATCGTGATCACCAGTACGCCGTCCCGGTAGTAGCCACCTTTCCGTAAAGAACAACTCTGAAACCCAAACATGTATATATATATACCCGGCCCGGTGGAGCCCCGAAAGCTTGATATTCAAGATCTCTTTGAGTGCATTTCATGCAAACAATCATTACGAACAACGAAAATTCACACCAACGATCATGAAAACGCCTATCAAGTGGCTTGAATTTCCTATGTTATACGTACTTTGTTAAGTACTAATCCAGTGTGTGCATGCATAACATGTGTTGATGGATGCAGATGCACATGTGGGGCCACGGGCGCGAGTACCGCAAGGGCCCGGAGTCGCTCAAGGGCACGCAGACGCTGGCGCTGCTGAAGCTGCCGTGCTACTGCTGCGCCGCCGGGTGCCGGAACAGCGTGGCCCACCCGCGCGCGCGGCCGCTCAAGGACTTCCGCACCCTGCAGACGCACTACAAGCGCAAGCACGGCGCCAGGCCCTTCCGCTGCCGCCGCTGCGCCAAGCCCTTCGCCGTCAAGGGCGACTGGCGCACGCACGAGAAGAACTGCGGCAAGCGCTGGTTCTGCGCCTGCGGCTCCGACTTCAAGCACAAGCGCTCCCTCAACGACCACGTCCGCTCCTTCGGCGGCGACCACCTCCCCGTCGCCCTCGACGGCGCCACCGCCCCCGCCCCCGCCGAGGACCGCCGCATCATACGCTTCCAACGGTGAGATCGTCGACCGGGCCGTCTAGCTGATCCTACTACATAGATCATATCCACGCTCGTATATACGCATGCATGCATGATTTCATCATACATGCAATGCATGCAAATGCAAGAGGAACAACGAGGTACTAGTAAGTGATAGCGCAATAAGGGGGTTCTCGACCAGTTGCTAAAAGCTGTGAAGTAGCTGAATTTTCTTCAGCCGGACTGTGGGAGCTGCAGGCAGTGCTATTAGCTAGGCTGTCAATGCAGCTTTGTAATGGAGAAAATTTATCAGCTTCACAGGCTAACTAAACTGGTAATTTGGACCTAGTACTGTATACATCGCATTTTGAACATGAGACCTAGCAATTTATGAGTACGTACATAACGTTTACTTGTCTGTTGTAATCTTTGAAGTTTTTGAATTCTCATTACTGCCAAACCCCTGTCTGTTTCTATTGTCTTCAAATGTATTGCATTCGTTTTGATTGGTATAACATTTGTGCAAGCAATAACTATAAACAATAAATATATCCTAAATCCTAATAGAGTTAACAGGTAAATCTAGCGTCCAAATATAAGCCGAGATTTGCGATATCCGATGAAAGACTTTGATCATGTGTTCTTACATCATAATATACTAACAAGACTACTGTGAAATTATTCTTCTCATTTAATTGATTCCGGAGTTAAAGCTTTGTCAGTACTTGGTTCATAGTAACAAAATGACAACATAAGAAAGCGGATTTGAATAAAAACATATAGTATCATTTTTATGTCACACAACCCGCATATTATCAAGCAATTAATAGAACAAAGATGGTCAAAAATATGTCTTATATATTTTGAATTGAACGAGTGTGTTTCAAGAGAAATGGCTTCATTTCGATACTTTTATAGATATAGCAAACATTGTTTATAATTGTAAGTGGCATTTGAAACATGCCACCACAAGTTTTATCTATTTCATGATGGAAAAATAAATGTGTTATCTATTTTGGCATATTTATGCTATTTATTGTCATCTCAATTTGCTTAATCGTAGTCACGGCACCTCCATTTGCCGAGGTGGCAGCTTTATCTGGCGCATTCTACGGAAATAAAATCCCAATTTTACGTACACAATAGGTTATGTCTTAGTGTTCTCTCTAGTATTTAATGTTTGTTCTAATAAAAGTAAATTATGAATTAAATTATTAAGCATGTGATGAAGGGATGACGCCTAGTATTATAGAGAATAAAAAGAACATACATTCATCTAGATAGGGAAGACAACATTCTTTCTTCCAATAGCCCCCACCCCTATCACATCCCATAGATAAAGTAGGAGAGAAAATGAGAAAAAAAATGACCGTCTCAACCATTTTGGGAGCAATCGTATATATTGCTCATGTTTTGTTATATTTGTGGCACTCCAAATCCCGTTTATATATTTCCTCGTGTTTGAAAGATAGGAGCGGCATCCATATATTTCCTATTCCAGGGACAGAAATATAG